CGCGTATACGCCTATATATGTTATAGATAGTGCGTATATGCTTATGTCAGATATACACAACTGTATCGGTGTAATCACTGTTTTGTTCTGCGTTAGTATGCTCTATGAAATCCTGCAATATTTACCGATCGCTGGTTCTAACCTTGAGCATGACCACGAGAGGTGGCCATTGTCCCTTGCGGCAGTTTTTGCTCATGCATCACAAGAAAGCAAATGCCTATGGCGAAGCGATTGCCCCAAAACTGTCTCAGGTGTTTGCCAGCGATCAGTGTTTCAGACGAATGTGAAATGGGTTTTTGATGAATCTTGTACTGAGTGTCTCTAGTTGATCTATACTATCTATACTTCTCATATACAGCACCCACGCATGCACCTTTCCATTTCTATTCCTTGCATCCTTCCACCTGTATCAAATTGACGGGGCGGATATGGGTGTATTTAACCTTTAACCTTTAAACTTTTAACAGGAAAAGGTGAAGCTAGAGAACAAAAATTACATATCAGTCAGCGTTAAACAGCTGGCGTTCACGTGGTCCTATTTTGGACAACAGACGACCCACAAAACAGTCGACGATCTGAGTATACCGGCACGATCCTTTATAGAGGTATGCGTACCACTAAACAAACTGCACTGGCAACTGAAGTGCACTGTAGAGCATTGGATTCCGATGCCCTTTTACAGCTGTACGAGACAGCACTTTAAATATGAAGTATGCTTAAGTTTGTTTACAATCCAGTATATTGAGGTTTATTCATACACAAGTTTATCTACTGTCAAGTATACGCAAGTTTGTCCAATACAATGAATACGTAAGTAAATCCACCAAGTATTCGTAGTTTTATTCACTGTCAAATATACACAAGTTTATTCATATATTGTGTTTATCAACCGATCCTGTAGAGGTCTACACAAGCGAGTGTGTTATGAGATTCGTTCGCCTGATTGTTTAAAAAGTAAATTTTCCAAGCAATCACACGCATCCGTAGGGCCCTACGTTAGAAATTTGTGTCTGTGTATAGTATTCAGATTGTCCCTTTTTGATTTTTTGTTTGTCCGTTTTGAATTGGCATAACCCTTTTTCTTCTGAGCGTATGTATAGGCAGAACCAGTCCTCAAGTCGGGTTTTAGGATTTAGGATGTGTAAAGTTAATCACGTACATTGAGATTTATATGCTTGTGAGGTTTTGCCTTCGTATAGTATATCACTGGGCTCTTCAACGCAGGCAATTGGTTGTTCAAACATGCTCGGTAGTCTACCTATCCACTCAAACGATGGTTTCGGACTTCAACTCGGATTTATAAGTATATATTGGCGCAGATAGATGTAGATGGTCTCGGCTAACTACGATGACCACTTACATTCCAAACTCCAGTATATCATATACCTTTGATAATTCTTAATATCAACTGGTCAATGTGGTTTATTTCACCGCCACAGTTATCAGTGACTCTAGATATCACCGAAACCCTCTCGTCGCGATTCAAAGATAGGGTAATGAACAACTGCAAGTCTGATCCCTTAGAAGTATCACAGGTACGTGTATGTATAGGATGCCTAGTATTTATCGATTA